TAGACAAATTCTTTGTATACTAAGTTTTGCAAATATGAATTATAACATAAAGAGCCCACGATAATGTCATCGTAAAATATAAAATATTTTGCAGATTCCTTGTAGAATTTTGCCATCAGATATGAATCAATAACTTTTTCAAAACCCTCGTATAACTCCACCGACCCTAATGAAACTTAAAATGGCATAAAATCGAATAAAAAAACCCGGCATATACAAATAATTGCATAATGCTCGCGCCACTTGAGTTAAACAATGGGTAGTATTGGCGAGAAATCAGGGCCCGCACTCTACTTGACCATCTGTTTGATTTTGGAACATGAAAAAGCATCTAAGGTGTATTCAAGTCTTTGTTTTTCATTGTTACGGAAATCCCATTGTGGATAGGTAAAAATTCAAATACTTTATTATTACATTTGTAATTAATAATATAAAATTAAAATGTTTTCTATATCTTAGATAAAACAACGCGAATATCTACAAGATTTTATAGTTCACGCGAGAGAAAGAGTTTTATTAACAAACTTTGATCGCGCTATTTTCTGGTGGAAACAATGTAGACTAGCTAACAAAGCATTATAAAGCAGTTAAAAAAAGTCTTGTAACACCTTATTTAGAAAAAGAACATGGCTTGTTGACCAATAAGGTCTTCTCCGAACGTACCGTACCTACACCGAAATATTAAATAATATTAAGACTATTAGATAGAGAATATTATACATTTTAATAACACTAACTTACGAATCTTATCGCGGTTTACTTTAATTTTCAAACAACCTGGGTGTTTAAAAATACAATCATATTAAACCCGTAACGTTATTCTTTTATTAAAAACGTACAATTACTTATATTTATTTTAGTTTACTATTGTTTTAGTTTTTGTTTATACCAGTTTCCTAGTCTGGAAAAGTGCTAACGTCAGTGTTAATGTAGGTATTTGTAGCAGTGTCGATTAGCCGTCAGTGAGTTAAATGCGAAATATAAATAATAGCATATAAGATATTATACAATCTTTTACACATATTTTAACTGAAAAAGATATATTTTTTTTAATTTTAATGTTTTTTTTGTACATGCAATTTAACCTAATGAAAACAATAGTAAACCCATACAAATTTTTCCCCATTTTAATTAAACTGTAACATTTAACTAGGTCCATTTATTATCGGTCATCCCTATTTACATTTACATGCTTTTACAAGAATAGTTTTGTGAGTTCACAAAGTAGCCCTAAAGATTTGTACCCTAATATTATTGCATAAGGCAGGTTATGTTCCTGAGTAGTAAAAAATAAATATAGCCATGATTCTTGTTGGCCAACAAAGATTTTATAATTTTGAAGATGGCCTGTGATCTGGCAGTTCATTTATATATAGTAAATAATGAATAAATTTATAGTTCTGTGTTACCTATTGTAGATGAAAATTTTTTTGTGTCCTAGTTAATTGATCGGCGAAAGGTTGCATAGACCCTGGGATAGATGTCTCTGTTTTAAAATCCTAATGCAAGTATAATTCAAAAAATCATGCCATTTAATAGTAACTAGTGCATATATTTATATTTATATAATTATAGTATTTTAGTTTATTTAACCTACTAAACTACTTTTTATGATTATTAGGGCGAGCGAAACGAGTCCTAACACAATTCGACAATCTGAGCACTTTTGTGGTACACTTTACGGAAAAACTATCAGGTCTATAGATTTGTGCCTTAACACAGTAATTTAACTTCATATCTACATGTGTTATCTGCGAAAAAAATGTAATTTGTTTTTTTTATATTTATTGGATACAATGCTATTGTACTACTAACGCCATCTGTTAGAATACTAAAGAGTTAATCATCGGCAACAGCAACAAAACTAAGGCTGGCATTTTTTGAACATGTTTTGAAGTGAGCACCTACAGAAAATATATAGGAATGCGTGAACAATAACTTTGTGAAAACCAGTCAAATATTTCACTGTCATTAAGTATATTAATGATATTGTTACAGCGAAACAAAGAATAAAAATACTACAGTAAAATGACGCGAAGACTCACATTAACAAGCCGTAAAGAACGTGAAAAAAAAACCGTTTGTTGATGAATCAGACGAGAGAACGTTAAAAAAGAGAACGAGAGGCAGAATCATATTTGTATCACTAAAATTCGATTTTTTTAGATTTTGCCATTGATTTTGTAACGGCCCAATAATATAAGTAAATTTAAGTAAAAAAGTATATTTTGTTTAGAAAAAATGAAAGATACAAAGATTTTATTGTCAATCGTGTAATTATTAATGTTAAGGCAGCTTTGATATATCACAAAAGTAATAATCCTTGGTATCGTGATATTACAATCAATGAAAATAATTCACACTGCCTACGTGATAATGAGAGTATTTTCCAAAAAAAAAAATCGAAGTAATAAATCTTATTAATCTTAACATTTTTATGGAGAAAAGGGACAAACGAGCAGGAAGGAGGCTCACTTGATGGTAAGTGATTACCGCGACCTATGAACAAATGCATCACCGAGGGTTTATAAATGGGGTTTGGAAACACCGCAGGCAGGAGTTGGTTGCAGTGTTTGAGCGAGGCAGGAAATGCCTTGAAAATCGCGCTGTTGTGGAATGCTAGACATCGAGGTGGTGTAGATGAAATTTTTGGTTTTAAGGTAATTTTTGGTATTAATCGAAAGTTGAAAGAATTACGTCAACGAGCTTAAATTCCAGCTTATCATAAGAGCTTTGTGAGGGCTCGCGTAGTTTTTCTAACATACGGTAATAATTATTATGACAATTAATTGTTGAAGTTCACAAGTTTATAACAGTATATTTAAACCCCTTCGACCGAGTATCTGCTTTACCGTGGAGGAGGGGCTTATTAGGCGTGGCTTGGTCACCTTTTTTTTTTTAGAGCGCCGACTAAAACACCCACGATGTTCCACCTAGGCGCATATCGGCAGGGTCACGGGAACGCTTTCGCACACTTCCGCGACCCCGCCAGCGCTGGCCGCCTCAGCAGCCCCTTCCCGGGGAGCAACTCCCCTCTCCTCTACTAGCGCTCTGGGACATTCAGCGAGCCTTTCTACTTGGCCCGGCCCCATTTTCACGGCCAGCGAACTCGCCCGATTTCGCTGACCGGGGCCATGGGAGCCAGGAGAGCCAGTGCTGATAAGCTGAATAGTGTCGGTATTTTGGTGTACCGTTCTCCCTACCTTCCGCGGCCGAAATATGGTATGCGGCGGAACCACAGAGCAGGTCCACCGCTGGGGGTTGGGAGGCTCGCTGCTTACTGGCTCTCCTGGCAGCTGAGTAGGAAGGCGCGCTGAATGTTCCAGCGAGAAGGGGCTGCTAAGGCAGCCAGCGCTGGCAGGGTCGCGTAAGTGTGCCAAAGAGTTTCCATGGCCCTGCCGATATGTGCCTACGTGGAACATCGTTGGGGTTTTAGTCGGTTTTAGGTGCTAAGCCGACATAACCCGCTCTTTTCCCCGCGAGGGCAGGTACGCGTAGGCATTTCCCACAGGTTAAAAAAAAGTATATCGACTTAAAGGTGGTAAATTTGATTGAATATACTTACTAGATCATCAATTGGCATCAAGAAAATGCTAATTTAGAAAATAACAATTCTTATAGAAAACAATTCCCATTGCAATTAGCTTACGCTATTAGAGTTAACAAGTCACAAGGCTTAACATTAGATAAAGCTGTTATAGATATTAGGGAAAAGGAAACAACTATTGGGCTTGAATACGTCGCATTTTCGAGAGTAAAAACACTTGAAGGATTATTAATGTATACCTACACGATTTCACTTTCATAGATTAAAGATTGATATCTGTTAAAATGTAGGAAGCAGAAAGAAATCCGTATATGAAACGTAGTGTCACACAAATAATATAAGTACTAAACAATGTTTGATAAATAAAAAAGAAAAAAAGATAAAGAAAAATATCTAAAATGATTGTTTTAAAAATTATTATCAGTTAGAAAAACTGCGCGAACCCTTACAAAGCTCAGCTTTTTGCTAGTGACAGCATGCTCATTAGGGCTAATAGGTGAAAAAAAAGCTTATATACTTATTGTATCTATATTTTTAAATAATATCGATAATTTAATTAAAAGTAGTGATGTAGTAGAATCCAAATATTACGACTTCGTTTATAACAGCTCAACACTTAACGTTCTTGCAGCCTATATATTCGTAGTAGTCTATAGGGGAAGTCTGCGGAATAAGCCCTATTCAGCAGTGAACTTAAAAAGGCTGAAATGATGATGATCATGAGCTTAAATTATCCATTCATTTTGTGCAGCGTTCGTTTAGTATGTAATATATAAAAAATCGTTGACCTTCATTTTATATGGAATCTACTAAATATCGTAACTTTTGCAAGACTATAAATTATAAGGGACCCGCCCTGTCTTCTTACGGGTGCAATGTGTTATACATATAAACCTTCCTTTTGAATCACTCTATGTAGTAAAAGAAAACACCGCTTCAAGATCCGTTGCGTATTTTCAGAAATGTAAGCATACGTAGGGACAGACAGACAGTGGGACGACTTGGTTTTTTACTATATGTATGTATGTATAGTGATGTCAAAAATTCATAATTCGCTTATAAATACCTATACAAATGTAGCAATGGAAATTTCTGACTCATTAATGAATATAAGTAAAAACCTCGCGTTACATTGTTTGCTATTTATATTTTTTTTTATTCAAACAATAATATTTTGAGAAAATGTCGATATTTTTAGCGCATCCTTAACGAAAATTTTCAAAGTTCAAACTCTATTACATTGAAAGTTGGCCTAAAGGTCCTTGATACCGGGCCATAAAATCTAAAAAAAAATATTACATTGAAACTTGAAAGACAGTTGATTGACAATTGACATTGACAGTTTTGTAAGATGAAGTGTAGTATGTATTTCATTTCTTTCATATAGAATATTTTAATAATTTTAAGTGAAATTATGTTAAATGAATAGAAAACTTTAAATATTTTTTTGAATATGTTGCAATTATTTCAGACACCTTGTTATCAAATATTACGACAGAGGTAAAATTTTTTCACTTAGAAAGATTGTTTAAGTGCCATATTAATGGAATTATGTTTAAAAAGTACTAATATTTGTCAATTTTCAGATTGTTACCATTAAAAAATAATGGATGCTACATAAATTTAATTAAAAATAAGCAGTCGTGTACATTAACTCGTTCTTTTGTTGATGTACAAAAGAAAACATGTGAGAAAGTAAACACTTTTTTAGTTTGTAGTCCATGGAAGCTGTGTACAGGTATCAGTTTGGGATTGGGAATTCGTCTATTATTAGGTAATGGTCCGGTCTTTTGCAAAGCACTTGCAACAAGAACTATACAAAGGAGACCAAATCTACATGATGACAGTGCTAAGTTTGATTGGAAGAGGTTTTTGGAGTATCTTATACCTCATAAATGGTTGCTAGCCGCCGCTGTTGCTGTGAGTATTAGAATAAAATTCATTACTCTGAATAAGGTGAAAACCAGTTACTGAACAATGAACCTTAATTATTAGATACAGTTTCATTGAAATCCATTCAGTAGTATTTGCGTGAAAGAGTAACAAACATCCATCCATACATACAAACTTTCACCTTTATAATATTAGTAAGGATTAAATCCAAGACACAGGTCTTGGATTTAATAATTACATGTTCATGTGAATAGCTGTTAAAAGTAGAATAAACTTAGTATAAGGATAAGCTGCTGACTTTTTTTAATGTCACTAGTATAGATAATGCTGTTGTATAAGCTGACCTGATCAGCAAAGTATAATAGCCTCACAGAATACAGGCATATAATATAGATACTTATCCCCTTGATCTTCAAGCGACATTATTATTACAAGATATTATAACAAGACATTATATTACCATCAATCCAACAGCTCGATAATTTGGCACATTTCACTGTAAAGATAATCTTTTAAACCTTTTATTTATTTTTTGTTTTTGCTCATAGTCTGCATTGGCAGTGGCCTTCCTAAATGTCTACATACCGGCGATGCTCGGTGTAATTGTTAATGTTTTGGCCAACATGAAGCACAACCCTACTGCAGATTTCATAGAAGAAGTCAAGTTACCAGCATTGAAGCTAGTTTCTTTATATTTAGGACAGGTAATTTGTTCTATATTGACAATAAAGTTATATATCATTGAATTATATTTCATAACATAAGACATTGGTATGTTTTAATTGTTTTTTTTTGGAAGAGCAATGAATTTCTGCTGTTGCATGTATGTGCAGGTTTGTCCAGGGAAGTATTACTACAGCCTTACAAGAGATGGTGTAAATTGCTAGTTTTATAATTTTGCGTTTTGTCTGTGTCTGAGTTAATTGGGGCCCACTTTTGTAATGGTTGGCAATGCATCTGCAATCCGTCAGGGGTTGTAGATCTTCATGGGTGGCGTAATCACCTAGCTGCAGGTGAAACACCTACTAGCTTGAAAACTATTCACATTAAAAAAAAGAGTTAATAGGCAACAAAATGGTATTGACACTGCAGTCATTTATTACTCACTAGTAATTCAATTTTACTAAGTGCAGATTTTATTTGCCACTGACAAATTGTTTTGATGTGGCATTGAATAGATTTCTATACTTTTTAATTTGTTTATCATGATATATTTAGGCATATATGTAGAATATGTTGTCAAAAAGTTATTTAAATTAAAATCATAGAGCTTGCAATGCTTATACAGTTCTTCAATTACAGATTTTCATCAGGTAAATTAAGTGGAGGCTTAAAAATATTCAGTTGAGAATTGAAAATGCTTGCCTTACACTTTCATTAATTGTAAAATTTGATTTTGATATGGCTGTATTGTTCTATGAACAAAATTATTTTTTGTCATTTCAGGCACTATTTACATTTTTGTACATTCACCTGCTTGCCCAAGTAGGGGAACGAGTTGCGGCGCAGATGAAACAGGACTTGTTTGTGTCAATATTACAACAGGACATGGCATTTTTTGACAGAGAGAGGACGGGGGAGCTTGTCAACAGGTAAAAAGGATGTTAATACAACTAAAAAGCATGGCTGTTAATACCAATAAAATGGTACTGGAGTATACTACTATATAATATTAATTTTCCATAACTATTTAAACCTTGACTTAAAGCTCGACAGCAAAATCTGTATTGAAGCCTTTTTGACACAAGTTTTTAACCTCTGGTAAATTTAATTAATAGTCTCCTGTATCTACTACATTATAATTTACTATATTCCTAATCGGATTTTAACAAAAAAGGAGGTTAACTTATAAATGGAATAAGAAATAGAAAGAGCTGTTGGAAAATATGTGGTAGTAATTAAATAGTATTGTATAAAACTTGGTCTAGTTACAGCGAAGGGTAAAGAGGACAAAATAACTCCAAGCAAATATTGAAATCTTAACGAATTTATTTAAAGAACACTCAGTGTGCATATTGATTTGAAAAATAATTTTGTTATCCATCTGTCTCTGTATACTCTACATACAAACATATGAGCTAACTTATTCTACTTTACATTACACGTATGTTGGTACAGCATGTGAACCATTTTGTTAATGGTTTTGGCTAGGATTTATACGACCGGTCGCATAATACGACATGATTCAATACTCTTTGGGAATAAATTTCCCAAATCTGAAACAATTTGAACAAACTTATTGCACATGCCAAACCATTGTACCGTAATGTATAGTAGAAATTGTTATTGTATGGCTATAAGGATTTCTAATAAATTATCGAATGGAATAACTAGAAGCTTTAAATTTAAAGTTGTTTAAGCGGAGTTCTTGGAGCAGGTTTTTTGTAAATAAATGCTATTTTTTTTTAAGTGATTATCTCAATGACAAAACTTTGTAAAACAGTTTCCTAAATTATGTTTTCTTTGCATAATTATATAATTGTAAAATGTAATGTTTGTACACCAGAAATAGTAGAACATAAGAGATGTTACATCTTTTAAGACTAATATTGTGTTATGTTTTAGCCAATAAACATATCTTCCCTTAAAAAAATTATCTGTGTGTTACACAAATACTTATCGCTAGTGGAAATCGAACTCGCGACCTTCCGCGCTGAAACCGAAAATTGATACAAAATATGTTTTTGTAAATTTCAGGATAACAGTAGATGTGCAAGATTTCAAGAGTTCCTTCAAACAAACAATTTCTGGAGGTTTGAGGGCCATTACACAGGTAAGTTATAAATTTTGTTCTTTTTTTTAATAATAACCTCACCGAAATCGTAGGCCTCCGGTTACCTGGTAAACTATATGACTTTTCTTCGTCCGATCTTGGCTTTGGTATTTCGTCCAACAGAAATCTTCATGTTTTCCCTATGTGTAATCAATGTCATGTAGAAATTTATTTCTTTAGAAATGTAGAATATACTTGGAATTCACATAAAGTCAAATAAATTTATATGCGGTATATTGAAAATAACATATGTTCTGTATTAAACCCCGACGTAAAAAGAGGGTTAGTTATAAGTTTGACGTGTCTGTTTGTGTGTAACTGTCTGTCTGTGGCATCGCAGCTTCTAAATGAATGGACCAATTATGGTAGTTTTTTTGTTTTCAAGCTGATCAATAAGGTTCTTAGCTATAATTGGAGTTTTTTTTTCTTTCTGGGGGCTACTTAAAATTTATAATTTTATTTTATACATATTTCAGATTGTTGGGTCGGCTGTCAGTCTTCTCGTCATTTCGCCTCACCTGACCGGTTTGACTATGATTTGCGTGCCGTCTGTCGTCATCGGCGGGACCTTCATCGGCTCGCTGCTGAGGAAACTCTCCCGAGAGGCCCAGGCTCAGGTGAAAAAGTGCTTTCTACTCATAACATTAGAGTTGTAAATGGTATCTGAGGTAATCTGAGTCAATGTATTATTGCCTTGCCTTACTGTTATTATTAACGTAACAGCTTATACAGCGTGTCGTTACCATCGCGACAATAAATGAACACACGTCTAACGCTACTTGCCAATAAACATAAAAAAATATTAACGTTAAAAAAATCCATAATTAAAAGAAAATATTTTTCAAACAAAGTATAATTAAGTAAAAATGAAACAAAATTTGTAACATCCTATACAACTACAACTGACAGATTCATACATTCAGAGACTTTTTCATTCGTTGCCACGGCGTCGCATTACAAGGCTCTCCTTCTAACAGTATGTTTTGTCTCTTTTAAATTCATTCAACCCATTCATATGCTTTGTAACCTTTACAAATGAACGTTACACTTTTACGTAAGGGTGTTCTAAAATTCTTTGTTTTGGAAAATTTTATAACTCTGTAAATATTGATGTTTAAAGAACGTAAATTTTTGATCCAATTTTAAAAAGTTATCCTCTATATGTGTTCATTTATTGTCGCGTTGGTAACGACACGCTGTATAAACCGCGCCTGTTGGATAAAAGACCTTTGTTTTAATCAATATATCATTATTACTCTTGAGATACACGAAAATAGTGCAGTAGGCAATTTACAAGTGCAGAGCTTGGGTTAAATCAAAATATCGCATTTGGGCTCAGTCGGTTTCTTGGGCTACTCTTCTGAAATTAGGTTCGCTCAATTTGTTTCGATTAGACATTTACTAGACAACATCACACAAGAAAATATTTTTAATTTTAATAAAATTGTCACAGTAAACAGTTATGTAACAAAATTTATTATAGTCATTAATTTAAAATGCCTCTGAAAGACTGTCTGAATTTATAATGATACCGATTTTATAATAAAATAGGTGACATGCACAAACAACTAAGTATAAACAATTTCAAACAATTTGTAAAAGCTACCTTAATGGCAAGGGCCTACTATAATATCAAAGAATACATTGAGGAGAAGGATGTTTGGAAATTACTCTTGCTCTGCACTTGCAAGACCCCTGGCTGCTGCTGATTTTATACCTAAATAAGTGTGTATAAAAAAAATAACATAAAGAACAAGACCGCAGAGTTTCTTGCCGGTTCTTCTCTGTGCAGGTCTAGTTTAGTGAACCGGTGGTAGATTTTTTGTTGACGTTCAATAAGATCTTAAGTTAGGCTTATATTGAATAAATATGCTTTGACTTTGACTTTACTAAATCAGATCCATTCTATAGTTTAAAAGGATTGTGTTCCTGTAGTAGGCTCATGTTACAGCGTTCTGTTCCCACGAACGGGTTTGCATGTCCGGGATAGTACTACCGCACAGAAGACGAGCTTGCGAACTTTTGGCATAAAAAAAAATAAAATAAAATAGCATATACAGTGGTAGGGCAAAACGATAGTCTTCGCTGTTGCACGAATGGGCAGGTCCGTGCGGGTAAGTACCACGACCTCACAGAAGACCGGCGTGAAGTGGAAGTTACAGTTCTGCGTTTCGTCCGGTACGTGAGGTAGCCGGGGCACACTTTATTAAAAGGTGACAACGCATCTGCAACCCTACGGGTGTTGCAAATGTCATTTGGCGGCGGTTATCAATTAAGATCAGGCAAGCGAGACGGTTCACCTGATGTTAAGTGAATACCGACTGCCATGGACCTCTGCCACACCCGAGGGTTCCGGATGCGTTGACAACTTTTTGAAAATTGGGCTCCGGCCACCTTGCCACCTTCTAACATAATAAAAGAATACGATTCTAAACAGGTGGAGAAAGCTACCCTAGTTGCCGAGGAGGCGATTTCCAACATGAGGACCGTCCGCTCGTTCGCCGGCGAAGAGAACGAGGCGCGAATGTTCGCGAAGGAATGCGACACCGCCGCCCAGCTCAGTATGGAGCTAGGGCTGGGCGTAGGGCTCTTTCAAGCCGGCACCAACTTGTTCCTCAACGGGTAACACAATAAGATAAATATTTATAAATATAAAAAATAGCAGCTTTTTTATGTGAAAAATTGCCAAAGGAGCCGATTGTTCATCTGATGTTGAGTGAATACCGCCGCCCATGGATATCTGGTACACCCGAGGATTCCTGATGCGTTGACAACCTTTGGAAAATTGGGCTCCGGCCACCTCACTCACCAGACGAAACGCGAAGGTATTATACTTCCACTTTACGCCGGTCTTCTGTGAGGTCGTGGTACTTACCCGGACGAGCCTGCCCATCCGTGCAACAACCGAGCCTGCTGCGTGGCCCTACCACCGTAATATTATAGCTATCTTTATATACAGCGTGTCGTTACCATCGCGACAATAAATGAACACACGTATAGGGGATAACTTTTTAAAGTTGTATTAAACATTTAAATTCTTTAAACATCAATATTTACAGAGTTATTAAATTTTCCAAAACAAAGAATTTTAGAACACCCTTACCTATAAAAGCGTAACGTAAAGTTCATTTGTAAAGGTCATAAAGCATATGAATGGGTTGAATGAATTTAAAAGAGACAAAACATACTGTTAGAAAGAGAGGCTTGTAATACGATGCTGTGGCGCGAGTTGTATAAGTGTTACAAATTTTTTTTCTTTTTTACTTAATTAGTTTGTTTGAAAAATATTTTTTTTTAATTATGGATTTTGTTTAACGTTAATATTTTTTTATGATTATTGGCAAGTAGCGTTAGACGTGTGTTCATTTATTGTCGCGATGGTAACGACACGCTGTGTATAAAACTTTTATGTTAAGTTTTTTGTTCGCGATGAACTCCTAAACTACTGAACAGATTTTAATCAAACATTGCACATTGTGTGCAGTTTGATCCAACTTCGTCGCAATATTTTTTTATTGCAAATTATTTGTTTATTTTATTTTTATTTTATGGAAAACCAACAGCATCATAAATAAGAAAACAAGATAATAACAATATTACAGCCAATTACAGGTATCAGTGAAAACCTGTAATTGACTATCTTGTTATAGAAGCTAAATAAATTGATGTTTTGTCATTGTAATAATAATAGTCTTGTTATTTAATTATGATGCTATAATTCCGAATATCTATCTAATTTGAAGTACTTACATAGAGATAATCCAATAATATTTACAAAAAGTATAACAATGGAGTTATAATTATCTGCAAGTTCCATAATATTGTAATTGATGGCGGTTAAAAGTTAATTTATCGGCTGGATTTAGTAAATATCCAATAGATGGCGCTATGTTAAAAGTCCAAACGAACCTATGAGTCTTTGGACAGTTTGGACACACAATTAGACGCGGTGGGCGGCGCCGCAATCGGGATCTAGGTTTTTAAAGCTTTTTCGCGCTTAGAAATACACTATATATACACATTAAATTATCGACACCGATAATAAATACAATCGTGTACGACTTAAAAAAAAAACAAGAGGCTCTTCACGAACGCAGCATGGTGCTGGCGACGATGTTCCTCGGCGGCCACCTGATGTCCGGCGGGCAGCTGTCGCCCGGCGACGTGATGGCGTTCCTCGTCAACGCGCAGACGGTGCAGCGGTCGGTGGCGCAGCTCTCGCTGCTCTTCGGCGCGGTGGTCAAGGGCCTCAGCGCGGGCGGCCGCGTCTTCGAGGTAACGAGCATCCTTCTGTCAACCCTACTTGCCACCGTCAACCCTACTTGCGACTGTCCACCTTACTTGCAACCGTCAACCCTACTTGCCACTGTCCACCTTACTTGCAACCGTCAACCCTACTTGCCACTGTCAAACCTACTTGCGATTGTCCACCTTACTTGCGACCGTCAACCCCACTTGCCGCCGTCAACCCTACTTTCGACTGTCCACCGCCGTCAACCCTACTTGCGACTGTCCACCTTACTTGCAACCGTCAACCCTACTTGCCACTGTCAAACCTACTTGCGATTGTCCACCTTACTTGCGACCGTCAACCCCACTTGCCACCGTCAACCCTACTTGCCCCCGTCAACCCCACTTGCCGCCGTCAACCCTACTTGCACTGTCAACCCTACTAGCCACAGTCAACCCTACTTGCCACCGTCAACCCTACTTGCCACCGTCAACCCTACTTGCCACCGTCAACCCTACTTGCCACCGTCAACCCTACTTGCCACCGTCAACCCTACTTGCCACTGTCAACCTTATTTGCCACTGTCACCCCTACTTGGCACTGTCAACCCTACTAGCAACAGTCAACCCTACTTGCCACCGTCAACCCTACTTGCCACTGTCAACCCTACTTGCCACCGTCAACCCTACTTGCCACCGTCAACCCTACTAGCCACTGTCAACCCTACTTGCCACTGTTAACCCTACTAACTATACTAGCTCTATTGACATCACCAAGTTTACATCATTATAATTTCAGCCTTTTTGTGTCCGCTGCTGAACATAGGCCTCCTGTACAAATCACCCACGAAGCACGTTCCTGAGTCAGCTGCATCCGTCGACTTCACGCACATTTGCACAGGTCGTCACTCCATCTAGTGGGGGATCGTCCTACACTGTCTATCAACCCCACCAATATTAACCCCGCACTGTATATCAACCCCACTAGATAGTAATACTAACTTTACGGTCCACCAGCTCTACAAATTTAACAACACTGCTATCTCTACCAGCTCTAATAACGTCACAAAGTCTACTTCCCCACCAATATTACTCGCGATACCAACTATGTAATCTTTTATAATGTTGATACGGACGTCCATCTCGATTGTTTCAGTACATCAACATGCAACCACAAATGGACACCAGCGGCTCAAAGGTGATAAAGTACCACGAGTTCCACGGCGACATTGAGTTCAAGGACGTCGCCTTCGCCTACCCCACAAGGCCAGAGGCCGTGAGTATATGCCGTGAACTTATATTGAGGAGTTTTAAGTTTTAGGACTTTTAAGCATCTCTCCCTTCTAACTGCTTCTTTGGTTGATGATGTTTCCATTGAAGTATGTTACATTTTCGTTAAATTAGTATTGCTGACGAGTGGAAGGGCCGTCGGTAAATTTAACTTATGTTGACGAGTTTAAAATTTTGCGAATTTTTTAAGCGCACACATCACTAGTTCACAGACTGTTTAGTTTAATGCTTGCTGAAACAACGATTGCCTAAGCTGTCTTTTTCTAATCGTTAATAATGAAAAGACATAGTGCATACGACGAAATTTGATTTTTACTCATCAGATCGTTTTGAAGAACTTCAATCTGAAGATACCGGCCGGTAAGACTGTGGCCATCGTTGGCACCTCGGGCAATGGGAAGTCGACGATTGCTGCTCTTTTGGAGAGGTTTGTCAAATAATAAGAATTAATTTTGCTTATATATTATTTTATTTAAATTTTAATAAGAACTCGTAACTCGATTCAATTTGACAGAAGTTATTAATTGACATTTTATATTAAGTTTTTATAGTGCTAATTTCGGCACTTAAGGTGAAATATTCAAATTTGTAGAAAATTAGACGGAAAGGTTTCCGCCGCCGCGGGAATCGAACCCGCGCCTTCAGAAATCGCACCGAGACGCTTTAACCATTAAACTAAACGTCTGATGGCCAAGCCGACGAAAAGCTCAACGTATTTTATCTTGTTTTTTGATTCCCATTAACAGACATTGATTCAACAATTGTGTGTGAGACATAAATCAAAAGTGACAGATCCATACTCGCACTAGTCAAACAATCAAAGTATTAGAAGCTTGCTGTTATTTAGCCTGTGATCTTGTTTTTCTTACATATATTACCTGATTACGTGCGTGTGTGCGTAAGCGTGTTGTGTATAATTTCCAATGAACAATACAAACGGGAGGTGACGTAATATATTATGCCGATATAGGAATATACAGTGATTTAGGGACATGATAGTTAGTAACACATTAAATAAATAAATATTTTAGGACAAATTTTTACACGACGTTCTCTAGTCTCAAACTAAGAAACGCTTGTACTATGGGTACTATATAACTGATAAACTTTGGTACTATATACTATACTATATTTCTTTTGTAAATAAATACATATTATTCATATATAAACATCCAGACACTAGAAAAACACTATGTTCAACACACAATATTTTTCCAGTAGTGGGAATCGAACCCACACCCTCTGGCGCAGGAGGCTGGTGCACCACCCACTACGCCGCTCGGGTCGTCTCGAAATAGTCTCTTCGATGCCGTGCTCTCGACAGGTTCTACGACGTGAACGAGGGCGTGGTCACCATCGACGGGATCGACGTGCGGGATCTGGACGTGAAGTGGCTGAGGGGCAGAGCCCTAGGGCTCATCGGCCAGGAGCCGGTGCTGTTCGCGACCACGGTCAAGGAGAACATAAGATACGGGAGGCCCGATGCGTCCGACGAAGAGGTGTGTTGACATATGCTCGTTTGAAACTTGTCTAATGCCCGGATCCTATATTCAAAGAACGGCCGTTAGTAACTTCTTAACTTTTATAACGACTCGTAACGACTCCATAATGATTATGTAACTAACGGCCGTTCGTTGAATATAGGAACCGGGCATAGGTCATTGCTCGGATCATAGGTGTCGTCTTTGTTGACCTCTCGCTCGCTCCGCAGTCCAAATTGTTTTCCGTCTCGCTTCCACATCACGACCGTTTGAAATTTTTCTTAGTCATTGCTCAGACAATTGGTGTCGTGTGTCGCCCTCTCGCTCGCGTCGCAGTCAAAATTGTTTTCCGTCACGACCGTTTGAAATTTGTCTAATGCCCGGTTCCTGTTTTCAACGAACGGTCGTTAGTTTCATACCTTCTAGCTTTCTTAACGTATGGGAATCGGACCTACGTCTTCGGCATTCGCGGCCTGACGCTCCAGCCACTGAGCTAAACGGCTGATTGCCACATCGACGAAAATCTTAACGACTTCTATCTAAATTTTTTTTTAGCATTTGAAGCAATGCTTGGCGCAGCCATTGTTGTATCCTTTCCAGCATACAAACAGTTTGTGTTTTCGAGACGACTGTTCCAAGACCGGGTACCTTTACACTGTGGTAGGGCCACGCAGCAGCCTCGGCTGTTGCACGAATGGGCAGGCACGTCCTGGTAAGTACCACGACCTCACAGAAGACCGGCGTAATAATAGTAATAGAAGTATAATACTTTCGCTTTTCGTCTGGTGAGTGAGGTGGCCGGAGCCCAATTTTCAAAAGGTTGTCAACGCATCTGCAACCCTCGGGTGTAGCAGTTTTTCATGGGCGGCGGTATGCCTTAACATCAGGTGAACCGCCTGCTCGCTTGACAACTTGTCACATAAAAAAAAGATATTAACTTGTTTTTTTTTTTACAAGGTATATCGGGCGGCGATGACGGCGAACGCGCACGACTTCATCAACGGCTTCCCGGAGGGCTACAACACGCTGGTGGGCGAGAGAGGGATGGCGCTATCCGGCGGACAGAAACAGAGGATCGCCATCGCGCGGGCCGTGCTGAAGAACCCACCGGTTATGATACTGGACGAGGCCACTAGGTGGGTCGTAACAATCGACATAGCAATCCAGCAGAAATACTCGATCCAGCACGTGAATCGAAATGGTGATACGTTGCGTAGTAGCCGATATAAGCCATCGCCAAATAAGTGCCGTCATCCACTCACTCTTTCGCACCGCACATTTACGTAGGTACCGTCGACTGAGAGCTTTTATCTTTTACATCAGGTGTTACTTGTGATTGTCTGATGGCTGAGAAAATTTGTTAACTTTCATTTTTAGAAAGGGTAAAGCGGGCCCCTATTACTGTCTGTCCGTCTGTCCCCAGGCTGTATCTCATGAACCGTGATAGAGGGTTGGAATATTCACAGATGATGTATTTATGTTGCCGCTTTACTATAAAAAAAACAAAATAAAAAAAATGTTTAAGTGAGGCTCCCATACAACAGATACGATTTTTTTGCCGACAACGGTACGGAACCTTTTGTTCGCTAGTCCGCAGCGCACTTGGGCGGTTTTTTATAATCTTCGCTTTGCACCTGCCATCTGCTTTTCACTATTACCCTTGTTCTATCTTTATCGGATAGATGGTGTAAATTAAATGCCCAGATACTCAATAAATTAATGTAATTCAAAAAAAGATGTGAAATGTACAATGATCGTAGGACAAGTGACATGAGTACGCAGATTTGTATGAAGAATCTTCAAGCGCCCTGATGCGGGTGACGGCAATGTTCCCGCGATGGCGTTTTGTCGTAATATTTGCTCAGGCGTTAAGTCTGAACAACCTTGTTGGTAGGGAACGCCATAAGTTCGACATAGCCCTTAGCTTAAGGCGTAGCAATGAAGCAAATAAATAAATAAATAAATAAATGACCTTGGTGATCCTCTTCAGCGCCCTGGACTCTGCCAGCGAGCTGGTGGTGCAGACCGCCCTGGAGAGCGTCAGCCGCGGCCGAACAGTGCTCGTGGTTGCCCATCGGCTCTCGACGGTCATGAACGCCGACCTCATAGTGGTGCTGAACCAGGGCCGTATCGTGGAGGTGAGTGTTTTGGTCCTTTTGCCCGGATAACGTTGTCTGCTTTAAGCCAGGGCCGCAGTGAGGACTTCATTGTCATTACGCACGCAAATCGGTTGTTTTTAACCCAGCATCAGCAATCAGCCGTTTAGCTTAGTGACTAAAGCTTCAAGCCGCGAATGCCGAAGACGTGGGTTCGATTCCCACAGCGGCGACAATCTTTTCGTACTTTTTCTATAAATTTTAAAATAAACATTGGTAAAATAATAATAAAATAATTTGAACCAGTGACTACATATTTGTGGCTATCCGCATGGCACTGAGACGCATGGCCAGTGTCTTTGGCGTTTTTTTAAAGCCTCCCTGCTTTAGCAAAACGGAAAGAGCGAATGATCACCGGTTTATTATACTCATAAGAATTGTTTTAAAAATTCAAACAATATAGTACCTTCACAAATTACTCCGTCTTTTTTTTCCTTATTCTTGTACCCAGCCGAATAATCAAATAAGCAACAGTAGTGAATATTTTATTTATTTATTTAGGACACATTTGTACTATGGGTACTAAAAAACTGATAAACGTACTCAATCATACTTTACTTTTGTAAATAAATACATATATATATATATATATATATATATATATATATATATATATATATATATATATATATATATAAACACCCAGACACTAGAAAAACACTATGTTCATCACAAAATATTTTTCCAGTAGTGGGGATCGAACCCACACCCTCTGGCGCAGGAGCCAGGTACACTACCCACTACGCCATTCGGGTCGTCGCGAGTGAATAATTTCCGGCGGATGATTATTAATTATACGAAAGGGTTACTGTTGTGTGCATATTTGTATTAATTCCAGATGGGGACCCATGATCAGCTGAAGAAATTGAAGGGACATTACTGGAACCTGATAAAGCAGCAAGACCAAGCACCAGACTCTTCTAGAACATTATGAATTACCTAGAGTGACTTTTAGTTTTATTAGTTCAATTGAAATATTTCATATATTTTGAATGGTTATATTATTTTGAATACCTACATTATTTTGAAGTTGACGTGTAAAGAACTAATTATTCTGGTGTGTGTGTTAGCAAATTGTGTGTTTTTCGTCACTTGTTTGATTCCTGTTTTTAATTCCAATCGGTTATAAGTGGTATTATGGTAAATGCGCTGACGCAGTAAGTATTATAAGTTCACGCTGGTAAAGACATTTAATAATTGCTAAAATGTAAAGTGACAACGCATAAATGTTTGATTTATTTGAAAAATCACGTGACCTCAATATACAATTTATTTATTTAATTTATGGTTTACAGTGTAGTGTATGAGGTTTACAGCGTGTCTATACCAAAGCGACAATAAATGAACACACCTCTAACGCTACTTGCCAATAATCATAAAAAAATATTACCGTTAAAAAATGCATAGTTAAAAAAATATTTTTCAAACAAACTAATTAAGTAAAAAAGAAACAAAATTTGTAACATCCTATACAACTACATCTGACTGATTCATACATTCAGAGACTTTTTCATTCGTTGCCACAGCGCCGCATTACAAGCCTCTCCTTCTAAAAGTATGTTTTGTCTCTTTTAAATTCATTCAACCCATTCATATGCTTTGTGACCTTAACAAATGAACTTCACATTAAAGATTTATACGTAAGGGTTTTGTCTCTTTTAAATTCATTCAACTCATTCATATGCTTTGTGACCTTTACAAATGAACTTTACATTAAAGATTTATACGTAAGGATGTTCTAAAATTCTTTGTTTTGGAAAATTTGATAACTCGTTAAATATTGATGTTTAAAGAATGTAATTGTTTAATACAATTTTAAAAAGTTATCCTCTATATGTGTGTTCATTTAATGTCGCGATGGTAAGGACACGCTGTATAATAAGAAAGCGGTTGTAATTTACGGATAAATTATGTTGTCTGTTTGTTTGATTTCCAGGTTCCAGTTACACATGATATTTATGCAAATAAATAATGCATAGTACCGTTTCCACAATCTAGCTGTGATCCAATATATCTCTATTAGACCAATTGTTGAACAAATACAGATATTTAGAAATAGGCAATGTGTGTCTTGACGTTGAAAATAAATAATTTATTATTTTATTTTCGTTTAATTTTGAGTTACCTTTATTTTTTAGGCGCAGGATAATCTAGGGGTACGATTGAAGCGATTTCTTTTTGATCACAGATCTAATAAACTTTTTTCTTAGCATATTTTTAGTAGCGTCTCTTGTATGTTACCAAGATCAATTTATGAGTATGTATGAATTAATGACTAAACATTCTTTATTGCGCACCCTATGAAAGGTAAGGTATTAAATGGTTTTGATAGCGCAGTGTCCGGGCGCTCGCCTTTAATTCAATATACTCGAGCAACCTGAGTTCGATCCCGGTGCCGGCAGCCAATGAAATTGTTAATTTTAAGTGCTGACATATCACCTGCTCCGCGGTGAAGGAAAATATCGTGAGGAAACCTGCATATTTTCGAAATAAAAATGAATTATAATGAAATTAACAAAAGCAAAAATGGGGCCGCGTCGTAGACTATGCCCTGATACCCTCTGTATAGAGGAGGCCTTTGCCCGCAGTGGGACATGTATAGGCTGTTATTTTACTTTTTATCATTGCAATTGGCCTTATTGTTTACAGCGATTTCTTTCAAGTATCTTTGGGTGGCCAAAAAACGGGTTAACTGTGATAGGGCCACGCAACAAACTTAAATGTTGCACGAGTGGGCAGGTCCGTGCGTGGGAAGTGTTTCGTCTGTGAGTGAGGTAGACGTGACCCATTTATTAAAAGGTGGCAACGGATCTGCAACGCTACGGGTGTTGCAAATATCCATGGGTGGCGGTTAACACTTAACATCAGAAAGATAAGTCAATTTTAACCATCTGTCAAGTGTAATATCCCTCTACAAGATCCAGGAGTGTACAAGCTTGACAGCGATTGTGGGCTCTCTTATATAGGACAATCAAAACGATCAGAATTAAGGAACACTTGGCTGACGTGAAGCACCGACGGTTAAAGAAGTCTGCAGTTTGTGATCATATTTTAGACCGCCCCAACCACAACATTAGATTTGATCAATCGAAAATCCTCGCAAAAGAACACCGATTCCTTCCAAGGATGATCCGCGAGGCTATTGAAATAAAGAAACATCATAATTTCAATAGAGAAGATGTTTGGAGTTTATCATCTGCTTGGGATCCCATAATTTATAAAATTAAATCCAAGCACACCAACAATAAAAATTAACAAAATAATTGACGGTAGCCGGGGTTAACTATGACATCAAGACGTATAACAACTTAGTCTGTCCCGTGACCATGAACGCTGGAAAGGGTTCGAAACGTCGGGAGTTCAAATAAAAAAAAAAAAATTAGTTTCATTTAATATGTATAATATTCGCGTAAAATCGAGAAAACAATAACTTTACATCAGGTCAGCAGGAATCGCCAGGTGGCATGCTACCTTCTAACAAAGAAAACCTTACAATTTTGCGATTATAAAATGCTTGGCTTCTAGAAAAGAGTGGATAGGCTGTTCAGGAGCTTACGCGTTTTCTATCCAGGATAACATCTTTATTTACTATCAGGTGAGATGATGGTTGAGTACTGGCTAGTTGTAATCTCGCTCTTTTCTAATTCAAAGAGAAATCTTGTACTAGACTGTACTATGTTTTATGAATCTTGGTTAGACTTAATGTGTGGTGAAATATACTAATTTAAATTGTTTTTTACGTATATATCATATGTATTTTAAATTCACGATTCTGCAAGACAATACATAATTAGCAGTAGCAACTTCAGTGTAGATCGGCACAAAATAAAAAATAAGAACTAGTTAGTGGTAGTCTTTGTTTATTATACGGGCTAAAACGTAGAGAAAAGTACCGTATATACTCTTTGCGTCAAAAAGAAAGTAAAAGGTTAGAAACGTCGGGAATTAAAGTTAAAATGTGTAGTCGCGTAAATACAAGAAACTATGTATTAAACAATGTATTAAATCTAAATTGGATATTAATGGCAATTTTTAGACGACCCTTTACACCTAAGTGCTTCTTTGTGCTATACAAATGTCTTAATATTAGTACGATAATGGTTAAACGCTAGCAGTTTTGCACAAGTCGAACTATATAATCTACATATAATTAAAATATTTTTTGTACTCTAGTTAGGTATTACGCTTCGGCAAATTACACACTAAAGTTATGGAAATAAAAATCGACACTAACGGCCGCACTCCGAGACATCAATTAGAGAAGCAGTGCGAAGTTCAGTGAGAAGTAGCGCCAGTGGTAGGGTCACGCACCGCGGAGAGAGAAAGGGAGCCAACTGCCACCCTGGAAATCCAGGAGACCAGGCCGCCGGAGACCAGGGCGCAGGAGGCTGGCCTACGCGCGCAAACTTCCCCCCTGATAGCGAGACCCTGAGCGGCAGACATGGGAGTGTCTGCCGCTCAATATGGGGCTCGTGACGTGTGCTTACCAGGCCGGGTAAGTACCGCGACCTCACAGAAGACCAGCGTAAAGTGGAAGTATGACAAATACTTTCGCGTTTAGTCTGGTGAGTGACGTAGCCGGAGTCCAATTTTCAAAAGGTTGTCAACGCATCTGTAACCTCGGGTGTAGCAGATGTCCATGGGCGACAGTATTCACTTAACATCAGGTGAACCGTCTGCTCGTTTGGCAACTTTTCACATAAAAAAAGAGACTAACGAACGTTAACTTCACTATGTTGGTACCATAAGGTATTATTCGTTAGTCATTAAAGAGTCAGAACTTCGCAAATGAACGAGTTAAACGCCCGGTTTCTGAAACACTGATCATCGTAGAAAATTATCTAATCAGCTGTCAAATGGCTTGTCAAATGTCATATGAGTTGGCAAAAGGATGGTTAAACTATTTGAATTGATCATTCTGATCATAAAGAAGATCATTCTGATTCTACGACGATCAGTGTTTAACAAACCGGGCGTAGCTCTTGTGCTTACAATCACTTCAAAAACGAGGTCATTAATTCGCGACTCATGCAAGACGGAGTTATTTAAATTTATCTTTGTTGCGATGTCTAAAGTATGCTGCATCCGTGTAACTCCCTCGAGTATGATACGATGTAGGCAAACTTCTGAGACGCAAGAGTTTGTTTTCATTTATATTCAGCTCACGTTTCTCGTTGATTGTTTGCGAATGTTTGTTGTTTAAGGAATGTAGCGTGTGCAAATACTAGTACAATCGATTTAAGCAAAGACCTCCGGATAGTTAAAAGATAATAATAGAAAAATTAATAAAGCAAATTAAAATTTTTCGGAATATGTAATTATTATAAGTTTATCCCCTGTGTCAGTACTCTTTGTTTGTGTAAAAGACATTAAATGTAATTGATAACGGTTTTATCATTGATATTATATACAAATAGGAGGTAGATATGTCACTAGCGCGCCGAACTGAGGCACTCAAATTACACCAATTGGCGTAATTAGTTCGCAATTCCATAGACTGCTATCTCTTTTCGTATCGTAAATTCTATATCATCTGCCACATCCACTTATGTATGTCAATGTAAAGCAGAACAGTTTTTAAACGCCACGCAGTATGGGCATGCGTCATCTTAAGCGTCTCTTTATAAAAACACTAGTTTTTCGCCCGCGGCTTCGCTCGCGTTGAAGCCCTTAAATAAATATCTTTCAACCGTTTACAACACTTTTTTACAATTAAAAAATAGCCTATGTCCTTTCTCAGGCTCTAGACTATATATGTACCAAATTTCATTTGATTCGGTTCAGTAGTTTTGGAGTGAAAGCGAAACAGACAGACAAAGTTACTTTCGCCTTTATAAAATTATATGGATCATTGGGGTTTTGATTATATTTTGGAACTTGGAATTACAGGTAAATGTCAAAAAGTTGTTATTGGTTGTCATGGTTGGTACT